CATTTTCGTAATCATAATCAAGCACTACTCAATAAATCTTATGAATCTCAATCTCGTTGAACATATTATTAAACAACAACATTCTAACGACTTAAGTACATCGAAAATTTAACCATTTTGAGTTTTAATTAATATTCTGAGTCTCTGGAAAATACTCTAGAGTGGTTTTAATTCTTAGCAAGTCGACAATGAAATTACCGAACGAATTGTTACAGTGTATGCGCATTATTATGCTCATCTACTGGATATATGTTTCGGAATGCGTATGATAATTCGTTTCTTATATCGATACCCTCACTCAGCAACATCATCGCTGACAAACGAGTTAGCTCTTTCACATTCCTCGATCATTGCTCGTCAATATTTCCTTTGCTTTAAATTCTATACAAAACCATGAGATCACTTACTGCGGTACTGAATCTTTCTTTTGAATTTTGCCAAATCTGTGTATTTTCTAGCTTGTTGACGAAGAACTTCTTTCCATTATTGTCATTTCTTAGTATTAGTTAATTCTACTAAATTTGATCCGTTTAATGCCTTATTTTACAAGAATACTCGGCGAATTTTTCATTGAAATGATGCTATTCAGATTGGTGAGTTACTGTTGTCAAAGTTTTTCTTCGATACTCCATCAGTGCTAATTAGTGGTGTTGTATTGTTATACTATGCGCGTTGGATTGAACGAAGATTCGGCAGTAAACAGTTCATGGTTCGTTCATTTAATTGATTTTATGTGTCTTATCATTGACACACATCTATTTCACTCGCATGTAGCAAATTAGAACAGTAGTTTAGATACTGCCTCTAATTCTAGTTTGCAAACTCGATAGCCTGTTACCCTTCCTAGATTTGACTCAGCTCAACAACGAATTAAATTTGGCACAAGGAATTTTATCATCAAGAAGGAGATTACCTTTCGAATTTATGAAACTCTTTGATTCGTCAGTTTCTTTTCTGTTTGATACTAATTAAAAGCGGTTCAAAATTGACGTATTGTTTTGGTTTCATTCCATATGGTATCATCCAAACTAATTCTCATCAATGTACTTGTTGGAATAATGCTCAAAATGAATTGAGTGTAAATTTTCAGAACTTTATTATAATCAACATTATACAGTCATTAATATTGGAGATATTGATGTTTTATTTGATTCATTTATTATACGGTTACAATCCGTCAACAATGTACTTCTCATTGGGACCGTTGGCCTTGATAAGTGCGCTGTACATAAATTTTGTGTCAGAAATACCGGTCGTATCATATGCGCAGTTGTTCGGCATTCCGTTCTCTATTCATAATCTTCCATTCGTTATGTATCTGCAGGTAAACGATCCGTCGGTTTTTCTCATTCCATTTCTCAGCTCGAAACAATCTTTTATCAACCCGTTGTCAATGTCGTCGTACTTGTTGCGTCGATGTTTCTTTTGAAAAGAGAATTTAGAAGTATTGTTTTTTGAGTTATTTCTTCGAATGAATTCTCCTTTTGAATTGCAGCTGTTAGGTGTGAATCGATCGTCGATGATCGCGTGCGTGGCTGGTCTGTTGAGTGGACTCTGCTATCGTTCGCTATTTCTACCAATTCACAATCGCTTCAGTTTTATTCCGTCGTTCATCGCGCAATTTCTACAGTCAACATCAAATCCCATCGGGTGGTTGATCAATAAATTCGCTACTTTCGGAGAGAACGATAAAAGTGTTCGTTTTCAGTGTGGCACTTATCGTTTCTTGTTGAGTGATACGTTACACGTGAAATCACAATGTTTTGTTTTTCAGTCGTTGATTATGAACTGCTTGGATTGTTATAGTTGGTAATCTTTTCACTTCAGAAAATCCAATTATCAGAAAGTTTCAATCAGAGTTATTATGATGAAAATTTATTTTCTAGTGAATTCAACATATTGCAAGAGGGTGATCAGGCCATGTTCTTATGGTAATGAAGTGCTATTTGAAGGGTAAAATATTGCCAGTTGGTGCAACAGTTGAACGGCAAAGGATTGATGTGATTGATGATATAGAACGAAGGCTGATGCTTAGTCAAATGCAGCAATTGCATCGAAATCAAGCAGTACTGTTTCAATTAATACACTTCTCTTTCTCAAATTTCGTTTGATTTTGCAATTTTCATATCCTTATTTGAATTCCCGTAGTGCACCATTGCGTTAATGATTACTGTTTCGATCTCAATTATAAATGTGCCAGTGGTTTTGAGTGTTGATCACAATTATTGTTTATACCAATCCGGGAGTTTCTAATATTGGGAGATGACTGAGGAACAGGTCTTCGTTGATCATTTATTGAAGATGATTAAAGTGGATACGAGAAAAATTGAATAGTCTACACTGATCGTGAGAGGGATTATGAAATTTCTGATGGTCTTTAGCATGTTTCCGTTGGGTGTTTTTAGTGCTTCACATGTTTCAGTTTCTATGCTTCATTGGAATTCTGCTCTGAATAATTTTCTTATTATGTTTTGATTTTTTAATCATTGTACTTCTGAAATAGTTCTATATTAGTCAAGTGCATATTCGTTTGCAGAATGATTCCGATGGTGTTCTTCAGCTGCCATTCTTAAATCGTCTTTTTGGCAATACTGGCTCAGGTAAGATGGCGATTGTGAAATTTGGAAAAGTTTTTTTTTNTTTTTTTTTCATTTTTCTTCAAACACAACACCATTCTTATGGAACTGAGAGATAAATGGAATAAAATTTAACCGTTCTCGAAGCTATTGATGTGTCGGATATGTGAACAATATCGTAAAGTTGGTATAGGCTGATGAAAAGGTGGGAATCGACGATCAGAAATCGTCAACTGTTCTATCATCTAAATTGATTTAGCTCATCATTACTTACTATTAATAACCTGGGATGATGTAAACCCAGATTGAAGTGAAATCTGAAAAGAGAAGTAATTTTGGATGAATTGAAGATTCATCTTCGAGTCCATCCGAAGATCAAATTCGGCAGTTGATGTCGATGGGATTCAGTGATAGGGAGATGGTTATCGAAGCACTACGTCAAAATCGTAACGATCCCTCGGCAGCAGCCAATCAGCTGTTACATCAGAACTGATGCACTCTGCAATATCCCACTTGCAGTCGTTTCCGCTATGTTGTTTATCCCTAATGCTCGTCATCATGTTCACCCATTGTGCTATTTTTGGAATGATATTTTTGGTAGTTTGTGGTGGGAATATTTTTAGTTCTGCAAGCTGAATACTGAATGCGTTGTATTCAGAGTTGAATTATTTGAATTTCCGTGAAGATGTCAATAATTCTTCATATCTCCATGCATCGATGCTATAGATTGTGTGTTCAGAATTTGTCTCTAATTCGATTGCATTTGTCTTAAAATGTATGATGTTCATAACTTTGAGTCATTTGTGAACCACTTATTCATCTCATCAATATTTTTACGTATCTTATTGTCAGTATTCAGTGATCTCTTTCACGTTTCTTCTTATTCTCTCTCTTGTATTTATAATAAGAATAACAGTGCAAATAGCGATTGAGATTAATATCCCTGTTGTTGTTCCGAGGTATTGTTCTTTTTCAGTTTTTTGATTTCATCCACCAATCGTACTTCCATTTATGTGCCGAATATACTTTTTCAAAGGTCTTTTAGTTGTGGATGAAGGTAGCGATTTAATTTTTCGAGTCATCAGAATATTCGGTTGCTGAAAACATATATGTAATTTGTGATTTTTGTGTGTGGTTTTATTGTAGCAAGCAGCATGATAATATGTTTCATAATATCAACTGAACGATTTAGTGTTCGTTTTGCTCGAGGAAATACTTTTTGAATGTGATTTCGATTGTGTTTGATGATTGGCATTGTCGTTGATCGCTAGGTGATCAAATACATCGTGATCACATTTCTGTTTATTTGCTGGTCCGTTGTTATTGTGATTAAAATGAATGTGTATTAAATATGTGCATATGAAAGTACGTTGATAATTAAATAAAGTAAAGTTTTGTATTCTCTGGATTTCCGTTGGCATTCTACCAGTCTAATTGCTTACCTGGTCCAACTTACCTTCCGATTATTCGTCGCATAATTTATTCTTTATCAGCTGAGTACGTTTCCATGTATCCAACTCTACCAACTGGTTCACTCTCGTGTTTCTTTTCATCTTTTAAATTCATTTTCATAAATTGAGTGAGATGCCTAATTTATTTTCATATCGTTCGTTCATAAACGAAATTACTCATAATCATTTGATTTGTAGTATTGCCCTTGATAGTAAGATGATCAAATTTATCAAGTCTGAAGGAATTATTTGTCAGGAAAGATTCATTACTCTTATTCAAAAAACATACCAGCTGCATGTGAGATAACGTATTTTTGGTATATCAAATTAATAGGGTTGAGAAGTTTGACATTGCAAAAGTGTAATGCAGATTTAAAAGTGAGTGTTTCGGAGTGTTTTGCATTGGCCAAATGATAAGGTTTATTTGGGTTAATCGACTGAAACGATGTTGATTCTGTTGATATATTCTCATTCAATGTTTTATCGCTATTGCCATTTGCGCACACAGATTTCACAAAGAACTTCATTTCAGATTAATTATTAGTGTTGAATTGAGGCGATCACAGCAAAACAGTCATCTAACCAATTACCGTGCGAAAGTCTTTATCGTTTTCGATTGCGAGAATATTCGCTTTGAATCGAAGGACTCCCAGGAAACATCCCGAAAGAATTTCACCTGAGGAAAATCGTACAGGTTGAATTTGAAACTGATGAAATGAGTGGAAACAGCGCTACAAAAAGGAAGATTACGGATCGGGTTGATTGCGATATGGCGCGACGAGGTGTATGGCTTGTTAAGGTATTCAACTGCCCGACTTTACTTTCGTTTATTTTGTTGAAGTCAGAACCGATGATATTCTTCATAACTTTGAAATTATGGTCATTCACCGCTCGGCCGCAAGGTTGAGTCGTATGGTTGTTTTCGTTTAAGAAATTGCGATTCTATCGTCGCATTTCGTCATCAGACAATGTAATAGTACTTATTCCTTTTATATTCGAGGCGTTTTTTAATTAGAGTCTAGAAAGATGATGTTCAAGGTTCCACGATATTTGTCGAGTATGTGGGAGAAGCATGCTGGACGTGATGTGGGTACATTGGTAATCAAACCTGGAAGTGGTAAAACAGATATTATTTTCAAGAGTAATCGTGCTATTTCACAAATACCTGGTAGGTTATTTCCTCATAATCTGTGCGTTGCATCAATGCCACTGTATTATTCAAGCACTTACTGTTTTATCAATATCGTATGAGAATAATTTGTTTTACACTTTCAATCATAACCAACAAATTGTTCAGCAAAATTACAAAACAAAAAATTAATTCTCAGAGTCTTCAACAAACCCGTCAGAACCGTCTTCGTCGGGTGTATCTCAACAGTCCGCAGCCAATCAGTCTCGACCATCATCATCGATCGCTCCGTTAGGCAAGAAAACCTCCTCGGTGTCTGGGATTCCTGATGAATATTCATTTCTCATTTCCGATGTGAAAAATCAATCTCTCAGTGTTCTATCTGAAGGTATTTATCAGTATTAGTAATGAATCTTTATTTTATGTTTTTCTTAGTTCTCTTTGAGAACCGTGGAAATTACAACAGAATATTTCTCACCGATCTGCAATCGCCTTAGATCAAAATTTGTCAAAACCCTGCGTCTATCTAAAATATCTGGTTGCCAGTTATTTCGCATAATCCTCAACTGAAGCCATCGTATTGTTGAGAATGTACCTAATTGTTTCACTTTTCTTTTAATTATGTTGTATCTGTTGAAGAAAACCACAATTTATCACTGAGGTATTGTTAAGTGTGCTATTTTCATATCGGTTTATCTAGATAATTGGACAATGTTTTCAGATAAGAGTGGACTGAATGAGGATAGTGACGTTTGTTCGGGTCGCTTAAGCCTCGAAGGTCGTGTCGTGAAACGCGCCGATTGTCGTCCACCGCAAACGGCCAGTTATCTGAGAATGAAAATGTCCGTTTTGATTATCAGTTTGTTTTATTTATTAACTCTATTTCATCTCTTCCATTTGGTAGTCCGAGTTTGATTGCGACTATTTTGTTACGTTTTGGATTGTAATTGTTCAGAAGTAATGTATGACGAAATTGTTTCTTGCAGTAAACACATCGAGAGAAGTAGTATACCGAAACGTCAGCTGAAACAGATCGACAAAGCAGAAGTGAAATTCAAACCAGTTGCAATCCACGCTGAAACGGTTAGTATTCCTTTTGTTCGATTGTTTTGCAAAAACGATTTTGTTTTCATTCAAGTTTGGGCAGTATGCGAAGCGACCGAAGATGTAAAGCCGAGCAAATGGGGGAAAGTGAGATTAATTATTAATGCATCGAAATGAATCGTTGGGAGAAAACATCGAACAAGGATTTGATTGTGTGATACGCTGACATATGATAGTGGGAATCATTAGTTTATGGTAAATTTGAAATTGCTGAATTGTTGCAGTTGGCGCGTGAACGTCAGAAGAAGGAAGGTGCGAAGACCGTACGTGGTGATAAGGATGTGATAAGACAAGCCATATTCCAAGCTTTCGAAAAGCATCAATATTATCGACTGATCGATCTGCAGAAGTTAACAAATCAACCACCCGTAAGTTGTTGTTTGTAACATTGAATTCCTCAAGCCTTCTGAACTGCAAATGATTACTTTGTATTGAGTAAGTTAATGGGAGTCGATTGAGTAACGTTTGATGGTGATATGATAATTGAGACTATTGAGCAAAATTAATCGTTTCTAGAGAAAGATAATTCTCTTTGTATCTTCGCTGAGTAATATGCTTTGCAAATGAAAGCATACAAATCAGGTGTTCTGACTGTTTCATGATGAAATATTAGTATGGCAGAGATAAACGTAGTCAATGAATGTCAATATTGATTCTGATCACTCTCCCATAATATTTTATTCTTTTGTTTCTGTTTTCTAACACATTGCAAAAATTTTTAAGGGATTTGTGAAGGAGATTTTAACCGAAATCGCCGTATACAATACCTCACCACCACACAAATCAATGTGGGAACTGAAACCGGAATACAGAAATTATGCTGATGTGAAGAAAGTAATTGACGACTAGTTGTATACAGTGAAAATTCTTTTTGTGTTTTCATTAATTTCATTTGTTTTGATTTATATTCATTTGCGTTTCGATCCATTATCATATTGTTTTTTCGGGAGGGTGGATTTTGTTGTGGATCACGGTTAGATGAGATCGGTTGAATCGATCATATGCTTACATCATTGTATGTTGAGTGTTATCTGCGAAACGTTTGTTGTTGAAATAACAGCAACATTCACGAGAATGGTATCAAATTGTGGGCATTTGAGAACGTAAAATGTCTTTTTTAACTGAATAATCAACAATTAGTGATTTATATTATTTAGAAGTAAGTATCAAGAGTAAAATTGGGTGAGATTCTGATATATGTTGTTAATGAATGTGCCGTTTAGACAGTGATAAGTTATCAATGATCTATTTGTTCCACTCTGACTGTACTTACTGTTTTTGTTGCAATGTGACTTTCGTGTTTAAATACCTTGTTTGTGGTTTCTGTAATGAACAACAAAACAATGCTGCTACTGTTTTCTGTAATGAGGAGTGTTTCTCTCGAAATAAAATTGCAATAAATCGTTGATTCTAATTCAGTATTATTTTGACATGATATCATTGAGGATTCTTCAATGGTTAGTTTAAGATGGAACAGAAAGAGAAGATGACATCTGAAGAGAAATTAAATTTGTTCAATATATCATTAGCAATAAAATGTGCATAGAACAGTGTAGTTATATGAAAGACACTCATGAATGAGCATTTCGTTGATGTGGTACGTATGCTGATCGCATTGTGTTCTCTTTATCATCGCGAATTTAATTGCTAGCATTCGACACGATTCCGGAATGAGTTGAACACATGGTAAAACTGAGCCGAGGTTCGGTTGAGGCTTACAAGTAGGTTCAACCATAGATGTATGATTGAATCGAATGTGATCAATAGACAGATATAACCTTTATTTTTACATGATTTGTTATTGAAGTTATATTCACAGTAAATGCATAGATAATTATGTACACTGATTATCGTCAACAAAAAATGATATCTTGGAAAGGAAGTGAATGTGTTAGCGTTGTTGAATGCCTTTAATCACACCTCCAATACTCTCAGTTAGAATCATTTTCACAAACTTCTGATGTTATATGAAGCATTAAAAAAATTCACTGATCGTGAGATTTTTTGAACTGATTGTGAGTAAATTTGTGTTCGCCGAATCCAACGAGTTTTTGTCGAAATTGTCAATCCACTAAAATATTCCATTTATGCGCAATAAGAACGTTCCAAATGCACAACAAAAATATCTCCTCAACAACACTGATACTTTATAGTGAGTCATAAAAACCAAGAAGCATTGTTATCTACATTTCAAAATTACGATCATCGTCAGCCTAAGAGCTTAGGATAATTACATGAGAAGAGAACAAAAATGATTTGACGAAATAATTTAGTATTTACAATCACAACCGACAAATTACCCATAAAAACACGAAACGTTTGTTTGAGAAGATCAATGAGTGCCTCACTCGAGAAAATGCTGCAAAAACTTTTGAGTGCTTTGTGCTGCGTGATGTTATTGCTTACTATAAAAAGTGCCATCAATTTTTCATCGCCTAAAATTTATACGTATAATTTAGTTTCACTGAATTCTCATCAATTCACATCATCTATATAAATGTTCCAAGAATGCGACTCATAAACGGTCCATTCAATAGGAAATTGAAATTTCAATTGTCCCATTTGCTATTCATTGCGATTTCCACGCATAAACATTCTTCCATATTTCAGCCAAACACACGGAACTATGAAAACGGAAAAAAATCGTAAGTGGACCGAAACTTCGTACCAAAAACACCCAACTACGTTTACCGTAAAAATTCACAACAGTCTCAGAGATGCCCGCTTTCTCGGCCTCAAAAAGATTCATCAGAAACATCGTGATGTTTGCCACTAAAATAAATGTAATTGTCTGTTTGCCGGGCTGTTGTGCATGCAAATCGTGATCACCTTGGATACGCAACTTGCCAGCGATGAAGATTAAACTCGCTTGGATTCCAACCTGAAACAGCTCCTTTTTGAACTGCTTTCTCCTCAACAATTCACTGGCTGCAGCTATGAGAGAATAAAATCTTTGATGATTAGCATAAACCTGATCTCTTATAGCACCAATGATGTTCTTCTTTAAGTTTGACGAGCAATAAACGAACTCATCTTGCTGAAGTGATCGCTTTTTTTTGCAAAATGCTTACTTCCATCTGATGAATATACTGATAATTGAATCACGTGATAAGGCATAATGTTATATACACGCTCAACTGACCTGTAACAAACGCGTAATGTGCACAGCGAGAAGTATATAGGTTAGTGCTTGCCATTTTTTTTCGGCAGTAAGGCCAATCAGTCCCGCAACTGAATAGATTAATTCGCCAATTAATCCCAACGAAAGCAGTATCAAATCGAGCAGCTCCTGGAATTGCATTCGTGTTTTATCCATTGAATTCTCTAAACACAATGGAAATTTTGAGTGAAGTTTTGAATGAATTCTGAAATTTGAACGTGTCAATACTCAAATCCATGAATGACTTTAACATGTAATAAGTTGCATTTGCATGAGAAGAGGGGCATCTAACTATAAGTGAGCGCATCAAAGCTCATGAATAGTAAGTGTCGAATGGAGATCGCTCAACAATGCGATCATATTCCGCACAAGTGAATCGAGCTGCTTATACCGAGGCATCATACAATAAAGACATTATTAATTAATAACCTGACTAGATGACGATTGACTATTTGCATTTTCCGAATGCTCAACGAATCGTAACAAACGCATCCGCCATAACGCATAAACGCATGCACCTCCGGAGACTATATACTGTAATGTGTGCTATTTTGACACTTGAACGGATCATTTCGTGATTGAAACGGTTTCGTACTCATCGAACTGGTGATAATGAAAATTTGGATTTTGTTCGTTTCTACTTTTTCAATTTGTGTAAACTTTAAGATAGCATAACTGCTCAAACGGTTGGTATTGTATCTTGATGATCACTTCAAAACATTAATTGTCAAACAAACACTGCAAATGACATAACGAAATGCTCAGGTTTTGAACGTGTCTTAAGAATGATTAATAAATCACTTGAACAAGATCCGTAAGACCGTAAACTGTTGCAGCGATCACACTTTGATTGCTTGCCGTATAACCGTAGTAAATAGCCATTGAGGTGAGTGTTGCTGAGAGATAGATCAATCCAAAAAACAATCCTTAATATACATGCTTTCATCGGAATTATCCACAAAACATGGTCATTCATTAAGGCCATCATAGTATACTGATCAATTTCTGATACGTTTAGAGCGTTCTAAAGCAGTGGTTCTCACGTTTGGGTGCTTTATTACCATTTTTGATGATCTGGCAGACCACCATTGTATCTCCACTCCCTTGATACAAGAATTTACTATTTCTACGTATAACGTCAGGATCAAACGGAAAACTGGTCAGGAAATTTCTCACAGATTTTAAATATTATTCAATTTCTAGTATTTTATTGCTCTCAGTTTAATTTGCGCACAGTGGCAATGAGCCTTCTTGGAATCATATTTCATGAATCCGTTCTACGTGATCTCAATTCCCCGGATCTTCTGGATTGCTTTCCTTAATATTACCATTATATATGGGAATCGCATAAGTTACTTCCAGATTTTGATAGCACTTTTATGATGGTATTCAACATCACTGGACCTCTGCTTAGACCGTTGTGTTCCTAATACTGTAATCGATCATAATTGCAATGATGAAGAAGATATTGCCTATGACACGCTCACTTTAAACTGATTTAGATGGATTCTCATTCTTTTCAGACGTGTTGTATTCACTCTCATAGCTATAGCATGCGAATAGCGTTCTCTTGATGAGTTTTTCTCATTCACTTCGTATCATTTCACTTCACAGTTCGAATCAATTTCTCATTCTGTAGCATATACTATTTAATGAATACGTTGACGAGTGTTGACAACCGAAATCAACAATATAACAATCGAATACTATTGCTCAACAAAGTTCGACAGTCAATTGATCAATTATACAGTGCATTTGATGGAATGAGAATTTGACTTTAATTATTAAGTGAAATGAGCGTTCTCTTGATGAGTTTTTCTCATTCACTTCGTATCATTTC